GCCAAGCAGCATCATAGGAGCAGAGAGGCTGACGTTTCGGGCCTAGACCCTTCTGCAGGGCTGGATGAACACAGCAGGAATCAGCTTTGGGTTCACCCTTGCCATGGTCAGTCGCTTTGCAATGCTCACCTCTCAGGTACACAGCTAAGAGAATGGGCTATTGAAATAAGATGGCCAGATGTATACAACTGGCTGTTTCCAGAGTGGAGCGGGGAATAGAAGTACCAGAGGGTTAGTGATACTTACAACTTTGGACCTCGCTCTGAGGAGAACTCGCAATGGAAAATAATGACCCTACAATGCTTCCTAGGACAAGGCGATACTTGGCTTGGAAAGAACGTACTGATGAGCTGTTCCTCTGTGTACAGATTCAGGGCTCCCTGCAAAACACACAGGGAAAAGATTCAGAATGAGTAGAATCACTGGGATAAATACTTTTCAATTCCCCCTTGTGTAGTAAATGGATAAAAGAAAAAACTTGCATTCCTCCTGTGCCTTTCAAATGCTCAGAGTGTCCCAGTGGCGTATGTGCTTTAGGAAATATTGACAGCCAATTTGTGCATGGCAAGATCCCACAAACAGCAATGTGATAACAATCTGACTTTGTAATGTGGTTTGGAGGGTAAACATTTGCCAGGACACCAGGCAGAACACTTCAAAATTGCTGTTTATTTTTGTTATGCCACCTGAGTGGGGAGATGGGCTTCAGTTTAACTCCACCTCCAAACAAAACTGTGCCTGTCAAAGTGCAGTATTCCTTCGGTACTGCACTGCACTTCCATCGAAATGTTTATGCTGAAGTCCTTGGATTGGGTGTGAACCATAAGCTTGCGATTCAGAGGTGAGAGAGCTTCTGACTCAACTCAAGAAGTAGAATCAGGACCTTGTTGGTTTCCAGAGCAAGGAGTGAACCCTGACAGAGAGTTGTAGACTGGCACATTCCAAGGTCCAGGACTATGTGCTGAGGGACGCACTAAAGCTTGGGGCAGCTTCTGCCAAGGCACAGTGGGGAAAGACCACCGTCTGACATCTTTCTGCTGAAGGTAAATGGGGGTCCATTCAGTTATTGGACCCTCCTAGCACCTCAATTGTATGTATATATAGTCTTGTATGTGTAAGAGAGGTCTTTGGTTTTTTTGAGATAGTCAAAGTTCAACTTTTGTTTGTTTGCTTGACATGCAACTGTGCAGAACCAAGCTGCTTCGTGACAATTTAATATACAGAGTTTTTTTTTCATGAATAAAGTATATTTTGAAATTAAAAACAAGAAGCTGAATCAGCACCAGGAAAAAGAAATAATTCCACTGTGTCAGAGCCACCTTTTAATCCTATGCTGGATTGGCCAACACTCATGCAAGTGGCTGAACAGTGAGAAATTGGGAGGCCATTCAACCAGGTCAAGCTTCACACATAGACATCAAAGCCAATCCTGGGGCCACTGGAAAAGGAGTGAGATGAGGAACACACAGTGGCAGCTTCTAGCAGGCAGCCTTTTACAAAAATGCATCTCAGGCAAAACTAAGGGAAATTGAAAGAGTGAAAGAACCCAGAGGGAAAGAGAAGCCTCCACCCATCTTCTGTCACCAGAATCAGAGTCTTTCCCCTCTCAGAGGTGGTAAGGTGGAGGGAAAGGGCCAAGCGTTGAGAATTTGAGAAGTGGTGAGTGAGGATAAACACTGTCACAAGATCACAGATCATAAACAGTGAGGAACAGACTGACCTTTATGTGCCCACCATTATATTCATATGGGTAACGACAATCCACTATGACGTACTCATGGATAACATGTTTATACTCTCCAAGCAGCAGAGCGGCTACCTGTAAAACATCCCAGAATCCCCGTCAGATCATTGTGCCACAATGCAGAGAGGCACAAAAAAAACAGAACTTGCATTTCCATACCACGTTTCAACCAGCTCAGGGCATCCCAAAAGATTCTACAGTCATTTCTGTCATTTTTAAAAGCGTGCTCAGTTATGATGGAGGAAATGCAGGAGCTGATTTGTGCACAGCAAGCTCTCACAACCAGAGAATGACCAGATGATCTGCTTTACAGTTATTTATTGAGGGGGAGATATTGGCCAACACCCCAGGGAAATCTCTCCTGATCTTTTTTGAAATAGTGGCCGTGGGATCTTTTACACCCATCTGAGAAGTCCTCTCAGGATCTCTGTTCAATGTATCTGAAACCTGGCACCTCTGACAGTGCCGCTCTCCAATGGTATGTCACTGACACTGGGTGTGTCAGCCTGCATTATATCCAGGACCCAAAGGATAGCCATGGTCCTGGAGAAGACAAGGCTGGATAGAAAAACAAGGAGGCACTGCCACGGTCTAAGACTAACTTCTCTTAGGAGCCATGACCCAGCTTGACACAACCCTAAAAGCCAGTGCTGATTTGAACAACATCCATTTCATTCCTGTTACCCTCCCCCAGAGATGTTGCCTCTTCCTGGGACACAGATCTCATGGATCCAGCAGCTCCTGTTCCAAGGAACATGATTCTGCACAAAGGCCATTGTAGGGAACACATACAGGTTGCTGCACTGCAAGGTTGACTTACTCAGAAGGACGTAAACACCCTTGAAGGAGTCAGGGACTACTCAACAGCACAGTCATCACTGGATCCAAAAGGGATAACTAGGGAGAACATCCTAATGGAGTAAGAGTAGAAGCTGTAACAAATCATAGGATTTGGGGGACCACGTGCACAGATTCTTCCAAAAAGCACAAGTGCTCAAAAAGAAATCAAAATGTCTTAGAGACAGTTGGCCTTTATCTCAAGGTGCCTGTGGTATAAAGGACTGGAAGTGATGCATCAGTTGTACAGAACTTTTGTCCCTCCACTCTGGGAGTAGCTGGGATCAGTTCTCCACCTACACGTAGGAAGGAGATTGGCCAGAATCCTCTAGGGGGTTAAAGGATTGAATTGTGAGGAAAGTTTACACAGATTAGATTTGTTATTCCAGGTAATTAAAGGATTTCATTGGCTAGATAATGGAAGGGATTCCAAAATAGAGGAAAAACAATAAAATCCAAGCCAGGCCCTTCAAAGGTGATATCAGGAAGCACTTCTTCACACAATGGGAAGTGGGAATCCAGAACTCTTTCACTGCTGTTGAGGCTGAAATCAATTTTCAAACCAAGATCAATAGATTGTATGGTAAGAGTTTTCTGGATTGTGGAGTCAAATGAGTAGATAGAGTTGGATACAATCTCATTGAATCGCAGAACAGCTTGAGGGCCTGAATGCTCTACTCCTGTTTGCCATCGATTATTTTCCACATCATACCTTTGATAGACTGATTTCTAATCTGCGAGGGAATCAAGGGTTATGGGGATGAGGCAGGAAAGTGGAGTTGAGGATTATTAGATCAGCCATGAATCATTGAATGAAAAAGCAGATCAATGATGGGCCAAATCACCTACTTCTGTTCCTATGTCTTATGGTCTGGCCCTTGGCTGAAGTTGCCTCTGAAGGATCACAACACCATTGGGAGGAAGGATCTACGCAACCAGGTACCCAGGCCAAGATCTGCGCATGCAGCATGAGGCTGAGAATTGAACCTGTGAGTTTCCTGGAGATAAAGCTCAATTCCACATTCGCTCTTTGCTAATTGATCAATCGGCGTTCCAGTGAGCTGCTAATTGTTCCTAGTGCCCTAGCAATACTCACAGTGTGAGCTGAAATGTATTTCAGATCCTGATGTTTTCCATCTTCTATTGGCAGGATGCAGGCCTAGAGTAGGGAGCAAGGACACAAGAGTCATCAGTTGTCCCAATCTTCCGTAAACTTTCTACTCAAACAATGTCACAGCTGGGAATGCAGACAATTACAATTAGAAGTACACAGTATCCCACTCCCATGACAGGTATAACATGGGGTTAGATACAAATAAAGCTCACTCCACACTGACCCTATCAAACATCCCAGGACAGGTACTACAACAGGGTTAGACACAGAATAAAGCTCCCTCTATGTTTTTAAACCGAAAGCAAAGCTCCCTCGACACTGTCCCTGTCAAACACTCCCAGGACAGATACAGCACGGGGTTAGGTCCAGGGTAAATCTCTCTCTACACTAGGCAAAGGGGAGATGAGATGGGCAAAAATGGGGAGGGAGAGGGAGGGAAAGGTGATGTGAGTGACAGAGTGGGAGACAGGAGAGCTATATGGGTGTTATAGTACTAAGGTTTGTGTGAATTAACTTGTGGGACTCTATAAATAGCACCTCCTATAATAATGAGATAAGAGAACACGTGACTGGAAGATAAGGAAGAATGATTGTGTCTTCAGCAGCTTAAGACCAAGTCTTGTTATGTTGTGTATATAGTTCCTTAACCTATAATGAACAAGTTTTAATAGAACGCATCAGTAACTCATATAAACAGGGTGGTTAAAAAGGCATTTAGCATGCTTGCCTTCATTGCTCAGTCCTTTGAGTATTGGAGTTGGGAAGTCCTATTGAGGTTGTACAGATCATTGGTGAGGCCTCTTCTGGAATATTGTGTCCAGTTCTGGTCACCCAGCTATAGAAAGTAAATTATTAAGCTGGAGAGAGTTCAGAAAAGATTTACCAGGATGTTGCCGGGTATGGAAGGTTTGAAATATAAAGAAAGGCTGGATAGGCTAGGATTTTTTCACTGGAGCATTGGAGGTTGACAGGTGACCTTATAGAAGTTTATAAAATAATGCGGCGTATAGATAGAATTAATGGTAGTTGTATTTTCCCTAAAATGGGGGATTTCAAGACTTTGGGACACATTTTTAAGATGAAAGGAGAGAGATTTAAAAAAGACATGAGCGGTAAATTTTTTTACACAGAGGGTGGTTCATGTCTGGAATGAACTTCCAGTGGAAGTGGTGGATATGGCTACAATTACGATGTTTAAAAGAATTTGGATAAGTACATGGATAGGAAAGGTTTGGAGGGATATGGGCCAGGAGCAGGCAGGTGGGACTAGTTTAGTTTGGGATTATGGTCGGCAAGGACTGGTTGGACCAAAGGGTCTGTTTCCATGTTGTATAACTCTCTGACTCAGTAAATGTTCTAAAGCTACACTAACCAACATATAACCTGCTGATAGCGGTGTTCAATCCCAAAGCACTGAAAATTCAACTTTAAAAAAGATTAACCGGCAGGCCTCTAAAACTGCAGAACTGTGTAAGCCAGGTGAGGAACTCCAAACATGCTCCAGAAGTGAAGTGAAGTGAGTCAGTAAGCATCAGAAAATTAACTTTCAGTGTCATTTAAGGCTGCACCCACACTGGGCATTATTGGTTAAAATGTGAGCTTATGCACTTTGTCAGGAAGAATAGAAGAGCAGAATATTATTTAAAAGGGAAAGATGGCAGAAAGCTGCAATAGAGGGAACTGGGTGTCATCAAGCATTAAACGTTAGTCTCTAAGTGCAGTGGGTATTAGGGAAGGCAATTGGACTGTTAGCCTTCACTTCAAAGGGAATCAAGAATAAAAACAGCGAAGTCTTGCTAACATTGAACAAAAGTCAGACAATACCTGGAATAGACTGAACAGTTTTGATTCCTTGTTGAAGGAGGATGTTTGCCTTTAGCGAGGAATTTAGAACTAGGGGTGCAGTTTCAAGCTGAGGGATCTCCTACTTGCAATGGAGACAAGGAGGGATATCTTCTGAGTGTAGTTAGTATTTGGAGTTCTCCTTCTGAAGTTAGCAGTGAAGACTGGGCCACTGACTATATTAAAGGCTGAATTTGACAGATTCTTGATTGTCAAAGGTTGCTGGGGGACATGGCTAAGCAAGAAAGTGGAATTAAGGCTGCAGGCAGATAAGTCACAATTGTATTGAGTGGTGGAGCAGGATTGAGGGGCCAAATGGCATACCGCAGCTCCCATTTCCTACTTCTTATATGTTCCTTATGAACCCAGTGGGAGTACTCCTTTTTGCCACCAGGGATTTGGTGTGGACAGAGTGTTGCATGCTGCAATCCTGTGCAGTAGGGTGGTCCATGTACTCCAGGGGCCGACTGTGTTCTCTGCAACCTTGAGGAATCTGTGTTCCACGCAAACACTGGGGTATGGCAGATGGCAGCCCCTGTTTCACTTTGAGGGGGCTGCTCCTCAGATACTGGTTATATTTCAGCCCCCCATGCTCCTGTTCTTTGTCTACCCAGTCCAGAGGATCAGAGGCTTTCGTGGGCCTGGGCAAGGTGTCCATCAATCAGACTTAGCAGCCAATGTTGAAGAGCTCATTAGGCCAGAGTGTGTGCACCTCTCCCACCGTTATCTCCATGTCCAGGTGTCCTTGGAATGGGAGCATGCAGCGTCCACTGGCACATTCAAGGCCTTCAAATGACAGCTGGGCACCACAGGGACTGGACAGCACTATACCTCTCCAAAGTGGCATCGGAATTTGAATATTGTTCTTTCATATTTTTATATTTGATTTCTGTTACGGTGTCCCTTTAAGGGCTGTCACGCTTCAATGTGGTTTATTTGGGTTTAATTTGGCCAGTGATTTAATCTGATTGGGATATTTTAACTTAAAGCTGGATTAACCAAGAAAGAACGGGTTCCGACATTGTTCTTACTTTAGAGAAATCACCAATAAGGACTCTCTCCTCTGAGTCTGGGATTTGTTTAACGTTGACTTCCTGGAAGCAGGAAAACTGGCGGAGGTTATAAAGCTGGAAAAGAAATTAGAGTGGCCAGTCAGTGGGGAATAGACAAACAGAACTGGCTGCAATGCTCTCCCTTACTCCCTTCATTGTACAAATTCTTCATTCAGGAATGGCTCAATTGGGCATGTCACCTGTGGGTCCTCACTCAGGTGGGTGTAAGAGACAACGATTAGACAGTGAGGCTGGCCAGGGTATTCTACTGTGACAGCATCACAATCTGATACTTTCCCTTACAACAAAAAAAAAGCACAAAATTTTCCACTGGATAGAATTCTGCTGGGGGAATCTGGACAATTTACATTTAACGCTGTACTCCTAAACTCTGAGACTGAATATTGATCTCCTTCCATATCCTGAGATCACAGACCCCCATCCCATCACCGTGTGGGGGTATATCACAGACACAGACCCCCATCCCATCACCGTGCGGGGGTATATCACAGACACAGACACCCATCCCGTCACCGTGTGGGGGTATATCACAGACACAGACCCCCATCCCATCACCGTGTGGGGGTATATCACAGACACAGACACCCATCCCATCACCGTGTAGGGGTATATCACAGACACAGACTCCTGAACTGTCACCGTATGGGGGTATATCACAGACACAGACCCCCATCCCATCACTGTACGGGGGTATATCACAGACACAGACCCCCATCCTGTCACTGTATGGGGG